CCCAGCAGCCTCAGTTATCCTCACAGACTCAGAGTAGAAGGACCTCGGCTAGGCAGATATTTACCTTGCTATCTCAGTCAATAAATATATACAGAAGCGACTACTGAGTCTACATTCTACCCGAACAAGGCAAACGAATAACTATATGCCCGACACTGTTCACCAACGTTCACTATATGCCCGACACTGTTCACCAACGTTCACTATATGCCCGACACTGTTCACCAACGTTCACTATATGCACCACACTGTTCAACGTTCACTATATGCCCGACACTGTTCACCAACGTTCACTATATGCCCGACACTGTTCACCAACGTTCACTATATGCCCGACACTGTTCACCAACGTTCACTATATGCACCACACTGTTCAACGTTCACTATATGCCTCACACTGTTCACCAACGTTCACTATATGCCCCACACTGTTCACCAACGTTCACTATATGCCCGACACTGTTCACCAACGTTCACTATATGCACCACACTGTTCAACGTTCACTATATGCCCGACACTGTTCACCAACGTTCACTATATGCCCGACACTGTTCACCAACGTTCACTATATGCCCCACACTGTTCAACGTTCACTATATGCCCGACACTGTTCACCAACGTTCACTATATGCCCCACACTGTTCACCAACGTTCACTATATGCCCGACACTGTTCACCAACGTTCACTATATGCACCACACTGTTCAACGTTCACTATATGCCCGACACTGTTCACCAACGTTCACTATATGCCCGACACTGTTCACCAACGTTCACTATATGCACCACACTGTTCAACGTTCACTATATGCCCCACACTGTTCAACGTTCACTATATGCATATATGTAGTCAGTCTTGTGTTTAATTTCTTCGATACAGATACAATATGTATACATAATTCAGTCCAAACACAATGTATACATAATTCAGTCCAAACAATATGTATACATAATTCAGCCCAAACACAATATGTATACATAATTCAGTCCAAACACAATGTATACATAATTCAGCCCAAACACAATATGTATACATAATTCAGTCCAAACACAATATGTATACATAATTCAGTCCAAACACAATATGTATACATAATTCAGTCCAAACAATATGTATACATAATTCAGCCCAAACACAATATGTATACATAATTCAGTCCAAACACAATGTATACATAATTCAGTCCAAACACAATATGTATACATAATTCAGTCCAAACACAATATGTATACATAATTCAGTCCAAACACAATATGTATACATAATTCAGTCCAAACACAATATGTATACATAATTCAGTGCAAACACAATATGTATACATAATTCAGTTCAAAGACAAAGTAGTGTATATTCACACCAGAAATTTACTATTCCACTGATCTGGGCTGTAGAGAACTCGAACCTCGGCCCCGCCAAGAGTGTGAGGGCCCAAACATTAAAGATATTTACTCTAGAGTATGACCCCATACACACACACTAGGTGAGTACAACTAGGTGAGTACACACACACACACACACACGCACACACACACACAACCTCCCCCCCCCCCCCACACACACAAGGATCCAAGAGTCAATGCTCGATCCTGCAAGCACAAATAGGTGAGTACACACACACACACACACACACACACACACACACACACACACACACACACACACACCCACCGCACACACACACACACACGCACGCACACACGCAAACGCACACACACGCACTACACACACCCACCACCCCACACCCACACACACACACACACACACACACCACACACACACACACACACACACACACACACGCACCTTTACCAAGGGTGAAGACAGAGCGAGGGGCCACATGGACCATCCTGAGAGTGGCCACACTTGACCAGAGTGGCCACACATTATCAACACCTATCCACCCTAGGTTCACATCCCCCAGTCACAACAACACACTTAAGTGTGTCTTGTCACTCGGCTCCTTGAGTAGCTTCACCACCAGCTGGCTCTTAAGTATGTCCTCCACCTGGCACTCCAGTTATGTCCTCTTCCACCTAGGCCTTAAGTGCGTCCGGGAGGTGGCCCTCAAGTCATTGTTAGTGGTGTGAGTGGGAGCGGCTGGAGGGAGGAGTGCCAGGGAGGAGTGCCAGGGAGCAGCGCGCGTCTGAGTGCCACCGTATAACAACACCAACTGGCTGCTGCCTTGACTAGGGTGCCAGGCACTCTTAGCGGCCAGGTCGGGCGGCACTCCCAGCCTCCCCCCCCCCCCCCCGCCGCCCCCAAGTCGCTCCTCTCCTCACTATTCACCTCTACTTGCCCCGGCAGGTCGAGATTCAGCTCCTGGACCCGCTTCAATTTGTCTTCAACTAAAATGCGCATGCGCGTTCACCCGTTCAGGAAACAGACATGTTCACCTGTTCACCCGTTCAGGAAACAGACATGTTCACCTGTTCACCCGTTCAGGAAACAGACATGTTCACCCGTTCAGGAAACAGACATGTTCACCTGTGAATATTCGCCACAGACAGACAAACAGTGTGTTTATCTAAATGCTGATCCCCCCCCCACCTCCCCCCATGCCCAAGGTGGGTCACGGGAGCTGAAGCCCGACCCTGCTAAGTGGGCTATATCTCTCTGGTCATGAAACACACAACTATGAGGAGATATATCTTGAGGTTATCTTGAGATGATTTCGGGGCTTTTTAGTGTCCCCGCGGCCCGGTCCTCGACCAGGCCTCCACCCCCAGGAAGCAGCCCGTGACAGCTGACTAACTCCCAGGTACCTATTTTACTGCTAGGTAACAGGGGCATTCAGGGTGAAAGAAACTTTGCCCATTTGTTTCTGCCTCGTGCGGGAATCGAACCCGCGCCACAGAATTACGAGTCCTGCGCGCTATCCACCAGGCTACGAGGCTCATTAGGAAATTCCTAACGGATATAGCATGGGAAACAGAGCTGAGGGGCAAGACGGCCCAAGACATGATGGACTACATCACGCAGAAGTGTAAGGACGCACCAGGCAAGTTTACCTCGGCCCAAAAGGTACAAAATGCAGATGAGAAACCCATGGTTTAATCAGAGATGTAGGCTAGCTAAGCAGCAAATTAAAAAAGCGTGGAGAAACTATAGAAATAACAGGACACTTGAGAGCAGAGAAGGTTACCAGAGAACCTGGGGCCAGATTCACGAAGCAGTTACGCAAGCACTTACGAACCTGGGGCCAGAATCACGAAGCAGTTACGCAAGCACTTACGAACCTTTCCATCTTTTCTCAATCTTTGGCGGCTATGTTTACAATTATTAAACAGTTAATGAGCTCGGAAGCACCAGGAGGCTGTTTATAACAATAACAATAGTTGAATGGGAACTTATCATGCTTGTAAACTGTTTAATAAATGTAACCAAAGCTGTCAAAGATTGAGGAAAGATGTACACGTGTGTAAGTGCTTGCGTAACTGCTTCGTGAATCTGGCCCCAGGAATGAATACGTCAGGGTGAGAAGAGAGGCAGAAGGACAATATGAAAATGACATCGCAAGCAAGGCAAAGACCCAACCCAAATTGCTGCACAGCCACATCAGGAGAAAGACATCAGTGAAGAAACAGGTAATGAAACTTAGGATAGGGGCAGACAGATTCACTACAAACGACAAAGAAGTGTGCGAGGAACTAAGAAATTCCAGGAAGTCTTCACATTAGAGCAAGGAGAAGTTCCAGAGATAAGAGAAGGAATAGTTAACCAGGCACCACTAGAGGAATTTGAGATTACCAGTGGGGAAGTAAGGAAGCTTTAGCTAGAGTTGGATGTGACAAAGGCTATAGGCCCGGATGGAATATCACCATGGATACTAAAGAAAGGAGTAGAAGAACTGTGCTTGCCACTCTCCAGGTATATAACAAACCACTGGTAACAGGTGAACTGCCAAAAATTTGGAGGACGGGGAAAGTAGTCCCGATATACAAGAAAGGGGATAGACAGGAGGCACTGAACCTCCAGGTTCAGTGCCTGGAGGTTCTTCTCTCTTAGGCCTGTGACCCTAACTTGTATACCATGCAAGTTATTGGAGAAAATTGTGCAAAAAAAGCTAGTGGAACATCTGGAGTGAAGGAACTTTGTAACACATCAACATGTGTGTCACAAAGTGTGTACTCACCTAGTTGTGCTTGCGGGGGTTGAGCTCTGGCTCTTTGGTCCCGCCTCTCAACCGTCAATCAACAGGTGTACAGATTCCTGAGCCTATTGGGCTCTATCATATCTACACTTGAAACTGTGTATGGAGTCAGCCTCCACCACATCACTTCCTAATGCATTCCATTTGTCAACCACTCTGACACTAAAAAAGTTCTTTCTAATATCTCTGTGGCTCATTTGGGCACTCAGTTTCCACCTGTGTCCCCTTGTGCGTGTGCCCCTTGTGTTAAATAGACTGTCTTTATCTACCCTATCAATCCCCTTCAGAATCTTGAATGTGGTGATCATGTCCCCCCTAACTCTTCTGTCTTCCAGCGAAGTGAGGTTTAATTCCCGTAGTCTCTCCTCGTAGCTCATACCTCTCAGCTCGGGTACTAGTCTGGTGGCAAACCTTTGAACCTTTTCCAGTTTAGTCTTATCCTTGACTAGATATGGACTCCATGCTGGGGCTGCATACTCCAGGATTGGCCTGACATATGTGGTATACAAAGTTCTGAATGATTCTTTACACAAGTTTCTGAATGCCGTTCGTATGTTGGCCAGCCTGGCATATGCCGCTGATGTTATCCGCTTGATATGTGCTGCAGGAGACAGGTCTGGCGTGATATCAACCCCCAAGTCTTTTTCCTTCTCTGACTCCTGAAGAATTTCCTCTCCCAGATGATACCTTGTATCTGGCCTCCTGCTCCCTACACCTATCTTCATTACATTACATTTGGTTGGGTTAAACTCTAACAACCATTTGTTCGACCATTCCTTCAGCTTGTCTAGGTCTTCTTGAAGCCTCAAACAGTCCTCTTCTGTTTTAATCCTTCTCATAATTTTAGCATCGTCCGCAAACATTGAGAGAAATGAATCGATACCCTCCGGGAGATCATTTACATATATCAGAAACAAGATAGGACCGAGTACAGAGCCCTGTGGGACTCCACTGGTGACTTCACGCCAATCGGAAGTCTCACCCCTCACCGTAACTCTTTGCTTCCTATTGCTTAGATACTCCCTTATCCACTGGAGCACCTTACCAGCTACACCTGCCTGTCTCTCCAGCTTATGTACCAGCCTCTTATGCGGTACTGTGTCAAAGGCTTTCCGAAAGCCTTTGTGTGTGTGTGTGTGTGTGTGTGTGTGTGTGTGTGTGTGTGTGTGTGTGTGTGTGTGTGTGTGTGTGTGTGTGTGTGTGTGTGTGTGTGTGTATTCACCTAGTTGTGCTTGCGGGGGTTGAGCTCTGGCTCTTTGGTCCCGCCTCTCAACCGTCAATCAACAGGTGTACAGGTTCCTGAGCCTATTGGGCTCTATCATATCTACACTTGAAACTCTGTATGGAGTCAGCCTCCACCACATCACTGCCTAATGCATTCCACCTGTTAACTACTCTTGACACTGACAAAGTTCTTTCTAATGTCTCTGTGGCTCATGTGGGTACTCAGTTTCCACCTGTGTCCCCTAGTGCGTGTACCACCAGTGTTGAATAGTTCATCATTGTCTACCCTGTCAATACCCCTGAGGAACCATGGGTTTCTTATCTTCATTTCGTTATCTTCCTTTTGCCAGAGTCAATCCGAACCCCCGCCCCCCCATCTCCTTAAACCTGAAACGGTTTAAGCATACAAAAGCTAGACCTTACCTCCCATTTAACCATTAACAACCGCTGACAGGTAATTACCCCCAGACCAGTACTCTAACAATGAGGGTTGAGTAACGAGCCAAGACCAATAGAATTACAAACCTCACGTCAATAGAAGACAGGAACCAAGCGAGACATGATCACCACATACAAAATTACCAATTTCGAGTGTGTCGATAAAGACGGAACAGTTTGGGTATAACATGACAACCCGTTCTCGCAAATTTAATAAGTCAATATAAATATTGACTTATTAAATATGTGCATAGGTGACATACTTAACATAATAGCTACCCTTAAAAAGATTCATAGAAAACACCGACCTTACCTAACCTACTTAGTATGTTAAGATAAGCATCTTATTGCTTCGTAATTACAATTATTACCTAACCTATAATAGGTATAGGTTAAGTAATAATTGTAATTACGAAGCAATAAGATGCTTATCTTAAGATACTAACAAGGTTAGGTAAGGTCGGTGTTTTCTATGAATCTTTTTAAGGGTATCTATTATGTTTAGTATATCACCTATGCACGTAGGTAATAAGTCAATATTGACTTTACGAATTTGCGAGAACGGGTTGAACATGACACCTGAACAGACTCAATATACATATCACTTCACCGGTATATTACTAGTCTTGTGCATACAGTATATTGAACACTAAACTCCCCAAGACAGTTTACCAAACACTCCCCAAGACAGTTTACCAAACACTCCCCAAGACAGTTTACCAAACACTCCCCAAGACAGTTTACCAAACACTCCCCAAGACAGTTTACCAAACACTCCCCAAGACAGTTTACCAAACACTCCCCAAGACAGTTTACCAAACACTCCCCAAGACAGTTTACCAAACACTCCCCAAGACAGTGCACGTCCAAAAATCATAAACAAACTCACACATTAAGTGCTCAAGTGACAAGCAAGCCACTTGAGCACTTAATGGTGCTCAAGTGGTCTATACAAGTCTTAAAGTTCCAGTTGGGTAGCAGGTTGGTGCCTCTGGAACCTTTCCTTATTTTTAGATAACTCAGAATACCTGGGCTGATAGAGCGACAATCTCTCCCCCAATGCTGGGGGAGATTGGGGGGGTGAAGGGGTGGTGTGGTAGTGTGTTTCCCCATTAACTAAGGGGCCGCCCCCCCCCACCTTGGGTTATCAAGGGGTGATGGGAAACATTAATGGGAGAGACAAGGAGACGTCCGTCACCCGCACCACCACACACAAGGAACCCGAGAGATCACACCAGTATATGGATGGTTACTACAAGGGGGGGGAGGGGGGAGGGAGGGAGAGTGAGAGAGAGAGAGAGAGAGTGAGAGAGAGAGTGAGAGAGAGAGTGAGAGTGAGAGTGAGAGTGAGAGA